AACCTTTTTGAGACGTCCTCGAATTCTCTGTCAAACTTAACAAAAAGAGAAGAGTGGCGGCAAATTCAAAAAAATAGACTACAGATGGAATATAATAATTTTCGTCTTCTACAATGTCAGTTATTATTTTAGTTCCGTCTGGAATTCTTGTGAGAAATTCACATTTTTGAACTGTGTTAGGGGGAATATCGATAGTTTAATTTTCAAAGTCTTCTAAATTGAAATGGTATACATGTTTGATCATTTACAAGACACAAATTTTCAAAATCGATATTGAGTTTGTTATCATATAGAGCTTTGATTCCTATAATTCCATCGAAATAATCATGAAATGAATACATGAGCATTTCTACTTCATTTATGTCATATTCTTGTAAAATTGGAATTTTAAGTTTTCCTTTAATTATTGTGGTTGTTCCCGTACATGTGAATAGTTTAGATTTTGTATTAGTAATGTATTGATTAAAGTATTTTTCAGCTATGGAAGGTCTTATTAGTGAGGCATGACTTCCGGTATCAATTAATAATTTACAAGGTGGAAATTGAATTTCTATAAAAGGTAATTGATTAATTTGAAGTTAATGCTGATCCGAGGCTTTTTAACAAAAATTTACGGATTCATCAATTTCTTGTTCATCAGGATTTTCAAAATCTTGATATTCATATTCACTTTGATTTTCTTGGTTTTCACCAGAGAAATGGTAAATTTCTTCTTCAAGATTTTCATTTTCCGCAAAATCTTGTTCAACTGGAATTAATTGTAAAATATTATTTTCTTCTTTAATTGTGTATTGAAGAGGTCTTTTTTGAAACGTTTGTTTAAATGTTTGAGTGCGAGGTTGCATTAAAATTCCGGACATAGGTGTTGGTTTTGGAAATTGTTGGTTTGTATTTTTCTTAAATACATTGGATTGCTTATTATAGTTTTTTCCAAAAGTTTGTGAACTATTTAGTTGGGAATTTCTGTTGATAATTCGCTCTTGGCTGAATGTTTATAGGTTGTGAGGGAAATTGTGTGATTGTTGAAATTGTTTCTGTGGAAACTGTGTTTGCACGAATTGTCTTTGAGGGAATTGTGTTTTCTGTTTTGAATTAGTGTATGAAGTGTGTGTAGTAATATTTTTATTAATTGAATTATTAAATTTCATATGGTTTTCAGCTAATTGGTAATTTAATACGCAACCTGTAGCTGCATCTAAAGTTAGTGGATTTTGCACCATTAAAATTGTTCTTAATTCAACAGGAGAGTTTGTGACTAAATTTTGGATTGCCATTATTTCATTTTGGTCTACCAAAACATTTGCGACTGCAACTAAATTTTGATCACTCATTATCTTAGAAGTTATTCTATGATTTAAACTTTTTAATCTCTCTAAATAATCAAAAATATTCTCTTTAATATTTCGAGTAGTATACATTAATTCTTGTCCTAAGTTTTGTCTAGAATATGGGTCTCCATATTTTAATCTTAAAGCGTTCTTTATATCAATCCATGTTTTTAAGTCAGGACGTGACATAAGGAAGTTTCCTGCTTCATTGATTAATTTTGATTTATTCGCTGTTATAACATGTTCTTTCTGTGCACTTTCGCCAGTATAATATGTAGTATAAAATTCTTCGATATTACTAATAAAATATTCTAAGTATTGTTTTTCGCCACCAAAAGGCTTAAGTAAATGTACAATAGATTTCAAATTATCACCCATGGTTCTTGGTTGATGATTATTATTTCTTAACGAATTATTAGTACTTGGATTATATAAATGAGTTAAGTTAAATTGGGTTAAGAGGTTCTGTATTTCCTCTTCAGAATCTGACATGTATTTTTTGAATTATATGCTTATTCATAGATAGAAAAATAAAAAATACTTTCTCCAAAAATTTATTATTTTTTCTGAAAATTAAAAAATTTGAAAAAATTATTTATAATAGAAAATTAAGAATAGTTTTCTCAAAAAAATCTATTATTATTATTATTATTTTTTTTGAAAAATAAAAATTAAAAAAATTCAAAAATTCAAAAATTCAAAAAAATTCAAAAATTCAAAATTGGGTATTAGAAATTCATTATTTATGGAAATAAATCGTATTCAGTTATCAATTATATTTTCAAAATGAATTATTCATTTAATCGTTAATAATATTTTTAAAATAATTACTTAGTTATCAATTATATGTTTCTTTTAAATTACGTATTTATTTAATCGTTAATTATATTTTTAAAATTAAATTCTACTTTTCAAAATTATTCATTTAATCTAACTTTTACTTTCTTAAAATTAAAAAAATCGAAAAAATTCAAAATTAGAATTTTTATGTTTCGCTTAAAATTAAAAATCAAAAAAAAATCAGAAATTTGATTTTTTTCTTTAAAGATTCAAAATTGAAGCCTCTAAATCAATTATTCAGTTATTTGAAAGTTAAAGTTTGAAAAATAAAAAAAATTGGAAATTTTATTTTTTTCTCAAAAAATCAAAAAATTAAAGGTTTCAATTTATTATTCAGTTTCTTGAAAATTAAAATTAAAAATTGAAAATTTTATATTTTTTCTTGAAAAATTTTCTAATATCAATCAGTTTCTTGAAAATTGAAAATAAAATATAAAAAAATTGTAATTTTTTTCTCTAAAACATTTAGAAATTGAAGTTTTTAATTAATTATTCAGTTTCTTGAAGTTTAAAAATTAAAAATTGGAAATTTTATTTTTTTCGTAAAAAATCAAAAATTAAAGTCTTGAATTTATTATTCAGTCTCGTAGGTTACTTTCTTTTATTTGTATTTAGTCTCAATGCCAAAACAAATTGAAATTGAAAAACACTTTAACTTTGTACGTTGGATCTTGTTGCTTCTTTTCTTCAGTAAATTTTTTCAAAAAGTGGAACGAGTTGGATTAAACTTTTTCGAAAATTCAATCTCTGGACTCTATAGCACTCTGAAGAACATCTGCACCGACTTGCGCCAATTATATTATCGATTCAGAAACTTGTATTTTTAAAAAACATTTATTTTATTAATTAAAATACAATAGTGACAAACGAAAAATATGTGGATCAAATTGCTACAGGGAGTGCCTGAAAACAAATGAACGCTCCTTACGGGAAAGCGCTGGCCTAAATAAGAAATAATTGCTGATGCAGCACTTGCGTCAGCGGATTAATGGTACTACCAGTGGAGTACCGCTGATTAAGCAGTTTTATATATTTATTAGTATTAACATAGCCGTACGCTTATAATTATCATAGGAAAGGAGAATTATTAGTATAAAGATAACATAGGGTCTTACAATATAACTAACCCATAAGAAAAAATTACTGGATTTGTTTTTAATACCAAGTGTTGCAAAAGAGATGTTGTCAAATATTGGTGTTAAAATTAGTATTAATTACATAGGTGCGCTCCTTATCATTTCGTTAATTTTTAATATTTACCTCGCATAAAAGTGGAGTTTTTAAAAGAAAAAAAAAATCTCGAAAACCGTTGAGAATGTTAATCGGTAGCAAATGGGCTCTACTTCCACAAACTCAAAGGAATACGTCCACTTACCAGTTACCCTATGTAGGTACAAATCTTTCATCTCGTAGAAAAAATTGTGTTCCTGAGTCGTGCGGAAAGTCTCTTTTCCTCACTTGATTGCTTGCCAAACTCCGCTCTGCGTCGTTCGGGCTGTTCGGCAAACTGCAATCGCGTGCGAAAAAGTTTCGCACTAGGTAGGAAATATACTATAAATAATATACCTACCAAACTCGCATGGGGATCCCAGATATCAAACTGATTGGAGAAATTAAGTGATTTTTTTTCCAATTCTAGAACACAAGCGCGCCCAAAACACCCGCCAAATATGAAGTCATTCGCTACAACGAACACTATTATACTGCAAATTGGTAAATATTGTCAGATTGTCGTTGCGATTGTTGTTTTGCAAGATTGCCTCTAGAAACCTGGTTTTTGTCCTTGTTTATGTAATGTTTTTTGGTGTATTTCTTGCACTTTGCACTGCAGTTATAAAGATAATGCAATTTTTCATAACCCTATTTGTTACAAATAAATTAACTTATTTGTAAGTTAGAGCAAGAGAATCCTATGGTCGTAGAATTCATAAATAAATAATAAAACACTCAAATTCCAACAAAAAATAATTTTATTTTCACAATGTAAGTATGTAACTCGGTATGTAACAAATTATTGAATTTATTCTGAAAATTTTGAAGTTATGATGAGAATTTCATACATCTGTCAAAACTGGTATTCCAAAAATAAATTGACATGTTTTGATTGTTGATTTGAACCAATCAGATTGGAATAAGGCGATAATTTGCACTAGTGCAAATTATCAGATAATTGCATGAAAACTGGTGTTTTGACATTTTTTGACAAAAAATTTAAATTTTTGAATTATGAAATTCTCTCATTAAGGTTTAAAGTCAGGCCTATAGTTTATTACAGCAACGCGAGATGTCAATGCTGTCGCCCCTATAGTGTGCCCTAACTTGACTGTCAAAAAAAATAGAAATCTGCATTTGGTTGAATTATGTGATGGAACGTTTTTTCTTTTTTTGGCGGAAATTCGAAGTATTATTCTGTTTTACATAAACAGGATTGTAGTTTCGACCAACGCAAATAATTTTGAACGTTCATCCGTCGGATTTTTTTCTAAACAATGTAGCTACGGGCGTATTTCCAACTATTTTTGCAGTAGCGAGAAAACTACAAGTTCAAAAAATTTGAAAAAAATATATGTCGCGTAGAATTGCTATAGTAGTTCGTATTCAAGATGGCGGATATTGATGGCGGATATTGATGATGTGAATTCAGGTGGTCCCGTTTCAAACGCGGAAATATTGTGCGGTTCCTGTAAAAGATCAGTGAAAACTGAGCTCAAGTGTGAAAAGTGTCTACGACAATTCCACCCGGCTTGTTTAGTACGCCTTAAAGGGGCGAAAACCCTGGGAATTGGCCAAATTTTGTGTCCGACATGCGCGCCAAAGATTGATGAGGACGTCATGATCAGTGTTCTAACGAGAGAAATCGAAACCTTAAACAAGTTAGTTTTGACCTTAATTGATAACAATGGCCTTCTGAATTCCCGAATTAGCGATTTGGAGTTAAAAAATCGAGAACTAGTGGCTGAAATTGGGTATTTGAAGGCTAATGCAAGCATAAACAATACATCGTCTCCTCTCCATGCCCCGCAGTTCCCAATGTTTTTACAAGAGACAGAGACAGAGAAGACAGCAAAATCTGCAACAGCTGATTTTGGACATGAAGTGTCGACCGTTGTGGCGACTTGGCCGAAAAACAAAGATGGAAAAGAAGACCGTGGGAAGCATAACCTCAAAAGTTCGTCCAATGTAAACATAAATACTCAGGCTAAAAATAAAAATAAAAATAATCTTATAAGCAATAGCCAAGTTCAAAAAGCGATTAATGAGGCAGTGATTCAAACTATTTTGCCAAAATACTCGGAAGCACGTCCACAAGGTAAGGGTGAGGGGGCTCAAAAGTCTCCTAGAAACTCCGACGTAAATGCAAATACAAATACAACATGAACTTCTCCTAATGTCAATAGCATATTTAGAGGGGTGCCAGGTAAAAAGTGGCTCTTCTTGGGGCGTGTAAATAATGAGGCAACAACGCAAATTATATTTGATCACATCAAAAGTGCACTGAATCTAGCGAATGACAGGGATCTTGTGGTAGAGGAGCTGCCAACCAAGGCTGACTCCAAATGTTTTAAGGTTGGAATTTGTGAGATTATGTATGAAATTCTTAATGACAGAAATTTTTGGCCAACGAATGTCATTTTCAGACCATTTACCCAGCGAAATAGGCCAAAAAGGAGAGCACCACAAACCACAGTAGGGGGTCAAAATTTTCAACAGCCGCAGATCGTGGTAGCAGTGCCATAACCTTTTATTATCAGAATGTGAGGGGTCTAAAATCAAAGCTCCAGGCCCTGATGTGCAATACATTGTCAGAGAGCTACGATGTGATATTGCTAACGGAAACTTTTCTGGATGATAGCATTTTCTCCAGTGAACTCGGCCTTGATGGATACCTTATATACAGATGTGATAGATCAGTCAGAACCAGTTCTTGCTTGTCTCAGGGTGGGGTGCTTATTGCAGTTAGGAATACGCTCTCCTGTCGCGCTCTAAATACTCCTCTCGATAATGTGGAATGTGTCTTTGTTCTGGTTTCTGTTGGCAGTCATAGGATCCTGATAGGGAATGCATATATACCAGGTGTCTCAGATGTTGATGTATATGAGAGTTTTAGTCTCTCTGTTCTGCATCTTGTTGATCAAACTGATTTTACGGACATTTTTTTGTGGGGCGATTTCAACTTGCCAAAACTGACATGGATCAATGGTAAGGATGGAACATTCCCGGTCGGAGTGGTGACAAATGAGGCAACTGTATTGTCTGATTGTGCTGCATATTTGGGTTTGTACCAAAACAACCAAGTTCCCAATAAATATGGAAATTTTTTGGATCTATTATTTAGCAACCATGTGAATGTCAATGTTTCATTGTCCGACAACCCTTTGTTAAAGTTGGATGCTCCACACCCAGCTTTTGAGTGTAATTTCATTTTAGACTGCGTACCAAAGAATATGTTATGTGACTATTTTTATTACAATTTTAAATTTGCAAATTTTGTCGACATGAATATCTTCCTATCCAGCTGTGATTGGAGTTTTATTGACAGGTGTTCTGATGTGGATGTGGCAGTGTCACATTTTTATGATACTCTGTATTACGCAATTGAGATGTACACACCAACCTCTCGATACAAATCACCAAAGTTTCCTGGATGGATGAATGATGAGCTGAAAAAATTGATCATCACAAAGAAAAAGGCTCATAAAAAAATTAAAATCACAAATTCAATTGATGATTACACTGTTTTTTCTGATTTGCGATCCAAATGCAGAGATACCTCACAATCTTCATATAAAAATTACATAAAAGAACTAGAAGGGCAGTTGTGTGACAAAAAATAATTTTGGAGCTTCGTGAATTCAAGAAAAGGGAACACAGAGTATCCACAGTGTATGAACTTCAATAAACAAGAAAGCAGTGATCCTCAGGAAATCTCGGAGATGTTTGGCACCCATTTTTCATCGGTGTACTCGGAGTATGTACAATTTGATTCAGATGGAATGTTTTACTGTGATAAATCGGTCTCACTTGGTGACCTCAAACTCTCTGTGATGGACGTTTTTGATAAGATTGATGATTTTAAACTTAGTTTAGGCCCTGGGCCCGATGGGGTGCCTATTGTTCTGTTGAAGAATTGTAAGTTTGTCTTGTCCGAAGTGTTATGTAAACTTTTCAATCTGTCTTTGAGTAGCGGAAAATATCCCTCATGTTGGAAATTGTCATATGTCACCCCGATCTTTAAGCAGGGGAATAGGTCAGACATAAAAAACTACCGTGCTATTTCAAAAGCTTCATTAATTTCTAAAATCTTCGAAGCCATGGTTGCCGAAAAAATAACTCCACGTTTCAAACATATCATTATAAACGAGCAGCATGGTTTTATGAAAGGAAGGTCCACTGTATCCAATCTTTTATGCTATGAGCCATGTCTGTTGGAAGCCTGCGAGAATGGGGGTCAAGTTGATTTCTCGAAGGCTTTTGACAGTGTAGATCATGGCCTATTGGTGAGGAAACTCAAATCCGTTGGGATCTTTGGAGCAATGCTCAGTTGGTTTGAGAGTAATCTTAAGGGACAAAGGCAGGCAGTAAAAATAAAAAACTATATATCCTCCGAATTTGCTGTTACATCGGGTGTTCCACAAGGTGGGCACCTGTCAACATTTCTATTTAACTGCTTCATTAATGATGTGAGGGGTGTTTTTCGTGTTTGCCAGTTTCTGGCTTTTGCCGACGATTTGAAATTATTTATGATAATCAAATCACTTAACGATTGTAAGCTGTTGCAGGAGGATTTGAGTAGATTCGCTGAGTGGTGCAAGGCAAATTTGTCATTAAATACAAACAAATGTTCAATTGTTACTTTTGGTAGATCAAAGACCCCTATTGTATTTAATTATGGTGCCAACTCAGTAGGTCTTGAAAGGCAGGTTTTAGTAAAGGATCTCGGTGTATGGCTTGATTCAGTTATCTTTTATTAATCACATTGACATAATTACCAATAAAGCCATGCGGCTCCTGGGATTTGTCTTTCGAACTCTGCGTGGGTTTGAGAATATATATAATTTTAGAGAGATTTATTGTGCATTGGTTCGCTCTGTTTTGGAGTATGCAACATGTGTATGGCATCCTCACTATAATGTGCATGTCAAAAAGCTTGAGCGGGTTCAACATACGTTTCTTAGTAGAATTGCATTTAAATTAAACGTCCCGCATGATCAAATAAATTATAATGACATTATGAGAGTACTTGGTATTGCATCACTTGAGAATAGGAGAAAGTATTTTGATATTATAACCTTTTACAAAATTATTAATAGTATTATAGATGCACCTGACCTACTTGCGGCGGTGGGCATTCGTGTTTCGGCTGTAAACGCCAGGAATAAAGAGCTTTTTGATATTGAATTCCATAGAACTAATTATGGGATGAATTCGCCTCTGAATAGAATGTGTAAACTAGCTAATGATGTGATAAAGAAAAATGATATTGATATATTTTGTGATTCGTTTAGTAAATTTAGTAGCAAAGTGAAGAAGAGCTTGTATCTTTAAATGTATATTTTGCCATCTTGAAATAATTTTTTGTTGACTGATCGTATTATTTTATCTCTATGTTGTGCTTTTTGCGTTATTTTTAAGGTTCTGTTTGTTAATTAAGATTGTCATATCTATTTTTTGTTTGACTGTAATTTATTTATTGTAAGATTTTGACTATTTGTAGAATGTTTTTTGCGTGAATAAAATTTTTGAATTTTTGACAATGTAATAAATATAATGGGAAACTTCATCTATTCGTTTTGAAATAAATGGTGAAAAACTACTTTTTTTTCAGTTTTTGCGACATAACTCAAAAATGGCCAGTCAAATTTGCTTAAAAAAAATATAGATTAAAGTATATCGATAACCATAAAACATATATTTTTTTTGGAATTTTTGAACACAAGGTTCAGAAAATAGGGGTTGACTTTAAACCTTAAATACAACTCGTGCAATGAAAATATATTTATAATTTTCGACAAATTTGCACTCATGCGTTTTCAACTGAAAAAGGCACTCGTGCGCTACGTGCACTCGTGCTCTTTTTCAACTAAAAATGCATTCGGGCAAATTTCCCAAAAGTTATCAATAATTTCCATTGCACTAGTTATATTACTATTGAACATTTACCTCGACATTTAGTTTTTCTGGTGAATCTGATACAGTATGTACCTTTCCAATCCGGAGCTCTTCAATGGATTTTGGGGTTTCAGGAAAGAGGATAGATGGATTGCTGGTGTGACGTCACTCTAGCTGATCCAGACTCCAAATAGTGATGTTTTATGTGGAATAGGTACCCAGAAAAGAATAAAACTAACAGTATCAGGTTCACCAAGGTTTCGAATACTAAATTACTGAATTCTGTTAAAAAGTGAGTATCTTGCGGAGAAAAAATTAAAATGAAATTAGCTTATTATAAAACTATTGTTGTGCAGACACTCCTTTCCAACAGAATCAGGTATAAGCAACTATTGCAAATTGGAAAAATATTCGTATAGAAACACAATTAAATAATTATTTAAAAAAATAAAATATGTGAAATAAAGAAGCAATAATTAAGTAGGTAGGTAAGTAATTACAGCAAGATTAACCCTCGCCGTCAATGAAAATAGAATTTAAATATTGAAAATTAGAAAATTTACAGGATCTGCAACTGCTGTAATTCTTGTTGGAATTTTATGGAGAAAAAAAAAATAAACAAAATCGAAGAAATCTTAAATGGAAAAACTGAAATGAGTTGAATTAGTTAGGCAATTTTGGCTTGTTACACGTATACCGATTTATCCCAAAAGGTCATTGGTGACCTATAGAAAGTTTTCTGGGAAAAAATTGTTTTTTTGAAAAAAACATACAAAAAGCAAAATATATATAAAAAATAAATCTTTAGATTCTCCCCAAATAGATAAATTTTCCCTCGAATTTTCCTTTTAGGTTAAGGTACCTACTACTGGTACTACAAGATGAAGTTAAGGGTGAAATAAATTAAATTCAAGAAACTAGGGAATGCAATCTTGCAGCAAAACTTTGATCTTGGTATTTTGCGAGATCTCGCAAATCTTAGAAAACCCATTTGATAAGTGTAAATTATGATTTTATGATGTTTATTTCTATCACAATTTTATAAAGTAACGAAATAAGGGCAAGTGAATGGAACGAGTTATAAGTACCTATACTTGTTTATTTATTGGAGAAGTTATAGGTCTGTTCATCTGAGGTCTGTTCTCACAAGAGTGTATGGCAGTTTGCAAACTGTCAGAAACAATCGCTCAGCTAAGTTAC